GTACTTACATTAAATATGAAGATGATTATAATAAATTTCAACAATAAAATATTAGATTATGTTCAACCATAAGTCGTATCGATGATTAATACATTTTATATGGTCATTGAAAATGGTCTAAAAGAAGAAGAATTGATCGTCAAGGTCAGTTGAATGCATATATACACGAGGAAGATCGACAATGGTAAAAAAGACCTTGACAAAAGAAAAAGACCTTCGAATAACTGAAACGAATGACAATACAAGGTGATGATAGGCAATATTATAAGATAGTTTTCACCTAAAAGATAATCATCATTACCTTAAATATGAATAATTAATATAGATTTAGTACTCAAATAAAAAAATATAAATAAACAAAAACGTACTATAAGAAAAATTTTATTGATTGGCTTGAAAATATTTAACCAATAGAATATTAGTTATGGCCCTCTGTCGCTAATAAGTATAATATATTCTTCTTTTTAAATTTTAATCGAAAAGTATGAATATTTCACAACTTCTTTTTAACAAATCGAAAGGTTACTAATCTTTATGAAAATTCATAACGATGTCATGCACGCATTATGATTGATACAAGCGCGGATGTGTTTTTTTTACTATAGAAAATTCTAGAATTAATGAGAACTATTTAAATAGAAATATTCTGTGATATAATCTGGTAGATATACTGAACAAATTAAAACATTTTAATGAATTGTTGTCTTACAATACTATGTTTGAAACTTTAAAACTAGTTTTATAGATTCTTGATGCAATCGAGTCATTCAAACTTTAACAGTTTTAATCTTTTAATATAGACACTTTCATATTTATTGTGTGTACTTGATTTCATAAAACCATCTCTATATGTAACAGAGATTGACAATGAAAATTCAAACATTCTTTCTTTTCAAATCAATCTATTACTATAGTATATAAACATTAGCCATCATTCGACAAGTCTTTACGAAATTTTAAAAAACAAAATAAACAATCTCAGTTTAGTATACAATGCAATAATATATATGATTTAAAATAGAAAGTATTTTGCGAATTTAATAGACTATATGTTGAAAATTGGATTAACCATTACTAGTACATAATAATTTTGCTTGATATGAATTACGTGTCATATAAGTGACATTTTCAAATATGTCAGTACTTTCTAATAACACAGTTTTGTTAGTAGATATAACTATAAGAAATATTTTTATGGTACTGTATCGAACATCTGTTTTCGAAGACAGTACGTCAATCAAAATCAAGATGCAACAATAAGTAATTCTTTTATGGCATTTCTAATGACAACAGATGTATGAAATTTATTATTAGAGAACGAAAAGTATTCGCTTAAAATCCCTAGCAAGAAAATACAATAGTTCAATAAATAAAAATGAGTAAAAAGAAAAAGCGAAGACTCAAAATTACACTTAATAAAAAAAAAAGTCGAATTCTGAATTTTGTTTCTGTTATGATATAATATACTGCTTTGATTATTAATGTATATTTGTTGTTATATGTTTAATCAATTATCTCAAATGGACATATGAAGTTGTAAATATCGAAATATGAGATATTTTATTTTCTTAAGAAACGAAAACGAATGTTTGGTTTTGATCAGGGTACTAGAAGAATTATTGGAAAAGAAAAAGAATCAAGCTATGATAGAAAATATTTGCAGATCAATTGAATAATGAGCAAAAAAGAACGGAAATATCACAAAATAATGACGAATTATGTGTAAGATTAATAATTTTTTTTTCTTTTTCTTAGTTTTATTGAAATATAGATTGATAATAAAGTATATGTCGATGATTTACGATAAGTAGTATGCATTGATTTGTATGAGTGTTACAACATTATGACTTTGTATTCTGTTTCTAAATATCTTGATTGGATAAAATCTATTGAATTAGTCGAGTTTCATGAATATTCTTAAATTCTGAATATGTTGTTATTGTAATCATTGTCGATCAAATCTTTCTTCAACATTCTATTCTATATTACATAATCGTCAAGATTCTCTTGTTACAAGCATGGAAACAACGAGATTAATTCATCAATTATCTTCCAGCAGAAAAAGTAATCATCCAAGAAATTGAGATACACAAATATCATATGAAAATGTTACTAATATCGATCGATTTTTTTTTTACTAATAACTTTTACAGAATAATATTGATAACTATGTTTTGTTTGTCTTGAACATCTTATTATAATGAAAGAATTGATGTGAAATAGAATAATGTATATTCTATTATGTGTAAATTAGTATGTGATATCAACGAAAGATCGAGCATCAATGACATGAACGATAAATCAATTAAAAATTAGGATTCGTGGTTTTATTAGCAGTTATTTAATTTTTGACAGAACGTCTATCTTTCATACTAGCTTAAAAATAATATTTTTAAAAAAATTTACACAATGGAACTCAAAATATTTTAACCTTTGCTGTTGATAGTTGTATTAAAAACCTATTAGCAAAGTCTTGACTTTGTATACATTGAAAATAATCGGATATATGAAATGTCTAAAATATTAATAGATCAAATTTTTAAAATATTTTAGCAATTTAGTTTTTGCTAAAACTGAAAGAGCATTTTACTTATAATGTTTAAAGATATACAAAATGTACTAAAAATTCGCAAAAAAAAAGGAAAACATGAATAACGGTTCAATAACTCAATCAATTTTCATGGACTTTTCAACATTTTCATAGGATATACTCTAAAGTCTATTCGACATATTTTACATAAAGTTTCTGCCTCTATTAACATAACAACAATAGCAAAATGACTATTTCTTTAAAGATGTCTTGATAAGCTCTTATGAAACTTGTATGTATCACATCAAATCTACAAAAAATCCACAAAATTCTGGAAGCCAAGGCGCCGATTTTAGCGCCATATATTTACATCATTCTCTGATGGAAAAAACAGAAAGTGAGATTTCATCAAAGAGATAGTCTTAGATATTCCCAGAAAAAATTTTCAGCCCAATTGGATAAAGTTTAATGAAGGGTTGTAGCGAATGAAGATGCGATCCTATAAAAACTAGAACTTCTCAGAAAAAAACGACAAAAATTCGCTTTGAACGTTTTCTTGTAAACACATGTCTCCTTATTTTTGATGCACTATTTGTGGTAAAAATTTCTGATTAATCAGTTATACCGTCTTCGAGAACTAGAAACAGTTGAAAAATGAGGAGATACGCGTAAGAAACGATGACAAAGTTCAATTGTTTAGTGAAAATCTACTGATATCAAGAGTTCAGTTTTTTTGCAAAACTGTGTTCAATACTACCAACAAACGTTTATTAAATTATAATAAAGAATTTTCAAAATTTCTATAAAATGACGTTTCAAAGAATGTTGACAGTTAGGCATACTGTGTTTTGGATAATATCTCTCATAGATAACGGATTGAAAGAAGTAGTCTGATTCGATGAGTTTCATGCTTATCAGGCTTAACCTTAGTTGGTTTTTTCGATGGAAAAATGTGAAAAAGAATATTTGCAGAGCTCCTATTAAGAGTATAGGTGAATTGAAAGTGAGAAACAATAACAGTGAAATTAATTTAGCTTAGCAAAAAGAACCCTTGTCTGATGATGATTTCAAACATGTATTGTAAATCAAGCTATTTAAAATAAAAATTTAGAGAATATTCTACGAAATTGTGACAATCCTATCCAAATCGATTGACTCGTTAAAAATTTATTTATCTTTAAGTTTTACATAGAGTTTTGAGATACTATATTAAGGTCACTCATCCTTCGTTAACAGAAAAGAGTTTTACTTTTATAACATATTTATTTCAATACATTTACTTGAATAATTATTAAAAAAATCAACACAATACTTCACTCTACAATATATTTAAATAATCCTTTGTAGTCGCTAGGTTTATTATTTTTACTAAATTTGGCATAAATTATAATTTCTCGATTGGGTACAATGATCTTCTGTTGAAAAATATCATTGACAAGACTATATTTTTTCGAAGATAAAATGCCATCAAATGACAAACCAACACAACAAGCACCAGGTAGATAACAGTGAATGGTTGCTCTAGTGCCTCGTTTCAATTATTCAATTAACGGTTCAAATATTTGACATTTGTTATCAGTAAATGTACCATAGGTGAATGGGAATTTTTTGAATTGTACCATATTAGGCATGTTAATTCCTAATTTAATTGCTCCTGCATAAGATGATTTAGTCGATCATCGTTGACGAGCATAAATATTCAGTGTGTGATAATCATTGAATCGAGGTCGAAATAAGCACTGACATAGTTTTCGATCAATATCGTATTGAACTAAACCAGATGTGTTATCATGAGCAATTGAACATAAGAGGCGGACATCATATGGAGCGTGAATCAATACTTCAGCTAGAGCACGATTTGTATTGAATATAACCATGTTTGTATTACGAGGAATTACAATTTCAAGGTTTAGATAAAAAAAGTTGAATATACTTGAGGTAACTCAAGAAATTGTTGCATAGAAATAATAGGTGATAGTAATTGCTATTTGGAATCTTCAGGTAAGTGGGTGTAGATCATGTGCTCAGATCGTGTAAGAAAATAATAAGTATTCAATTTTTTCTGATATTGATTGTGTACATCCACATGACCAGCACCCCATGTTGAATCAATCAAATACCAGTGATTATTAAGTCATATCACATTCCATGCATGGTCTGTTCGATTGAATGTTGATTTACCTGGAATATAACCGTAGCCTTTTGCGTAACCACTTACTTTTCTACATTCTAACTGTAAACCATCACAAAGTGCTTTAAAAATAGTACCATATGCATCACAAACACCTTTTCTATTACGAAATATGTCATTCGAAGTTTAATGTTTTATGTTACCACTAAAGAAAGAATTTACATCATATTCAATATTTTGTGAAATCCAGTAAAAGATAATTCATACAAGATCGATTACGTTCTTTCCCATTGACAAGTTTTTTATCAGAGAAATCACGTCATAAAGTGAAGTTGCTCTTCATGAAATAATGTTTTGTTGATAATCCATATTGTCGATAGCAGCTTGTCGCTGACGAATAAATTCAGAATTGAATGGATGACGATTTATCGAAGGCATATCAGTAGTTACAATAGTGCTTGGGGATGGATCTTTATTAACTACCTGTTTGATTTCATCAGCTTTTTTCTTTTTTCGACGTCGTTTATGATTATGAGAACGTTGAACAATTGTATCAGTTGTTACTAATGGTCGATAAGCTTCAAGCAAAGCTGGTTGTCGAACATCTCCTATAATTGTCTGTGTACTGATATTACGTTTAGATGATAATGATCGTTGATGATTTCCATTATTGGTCTGTGTACTAAATATAATATGATGAGATGCTTCTTCCCAATTAGGAATGATTCGACAAGCTGATGAAGAACGGCGTTGAATGATATCAATTGGATGCTGTCGATTGTCAATAAGCCTTCTAGTATCAGTAGTATCACTTCGCTCTTTCGAAAACGAATAACTTGCTATCGAAGTTTTTTGTCTCCCTTGTTCTGTCAGTAGAAATGCAGATACTGAAATGCTTACATTTGCTTTTTGAGCAGTTTTTATTCCTTCAACTGCCATGACGAATAAAAGAGTCTTATAGCTAATATTACAAATAAATTCATTCTTTATATAGCATTCTTTATATAGCATTTTTTAAAGAAAATTTATTTTTTTCCAAGAGAAAATTCTTTTGTTTCTATGGACACATTTGATATAAACAATGAGTAGCATATTTGTGACTTCACAAAAAGATATTACGTCAGAATATAGCAAATATTTGAAATATATTATTTTTTGCGTATTCTTCTGTCAATAAGAATCAGTGTTTATTGTTCTTCGTTGTTGATGAAATTCGAATGACAGCCATGCGTAATTTTTGACTTACTAAGAAGAATTAATCAATCTTAGATGGTAATAGTCGAATCTATCGTTTGGAAGTTGGTGAAACAATGATTCAAATAAAAGTTTGACAACAGCATTATGTAATGTTTTTCACAGACTTCTTATGCTTTTCTTATCAATTCTTCACTTAGCTTCATACTTATTGCTTATTAAATGGAAGCAAGTTTCTTTGATTTTGTGTTCAAGACTCTAGTACATTTTTGAGCCTAGTACTTATATTAGTAGCTCAACAGACATAACGGGTGGGTAATAATGAACGGTCGCTTGTTTATATCTTATCATTTTGTCACTTACACAATTTATTATAAAATAAAGGATACCACAAGATGCAACGACAAAGTCTCTACCATTTATTCAGAATAGTTTATTACATATATGCGCCAAAGATGTCTACCGCCTGCGTCTTTATCACATCAGCTCTTAAATGACTTTTCTCTTCGTTGACAACCACCCTCACATCCACACAAGCTACCCACAACCATAATCTCAAGTCCAAAACCAGTTTTTAGATCCCTATGATTGTTCAGCCTTTTATTATTTCAATGGAGGATATAGTGCAATATGACTTTTGAACTGTGATGCCTATTCTTCCATGGCAGGTGGCATCAACATATTATCTATTGTTATCGAGATCTTTTTCATAGCTGCAGTGAGTATCGGAACTAGACATACAGATTACTGTTGTTCGCACTCCAGATATTGGAGATTGTTTATGACCAAAAGATATAGTTGAATATGATTTGTTAATTTATCTCAGATTTTCTAATATCCACGTTGTATTAAAGCAAAATTCAAAGGTTCATCGAAAAGCAAACGCTTTCTTTGGGTGTGGATTGTGGATGTGCATGTAAATGTCGATGTTGAAAACTTCTCTTGACTCACATCCATACTGCATTCTTTTCTTTTTAAAAAAGAGATTTTTGCACCTTTAAAATCTTCTTTATCGTATTAAAAGGAAATACACATTTTTGCCACATCAAAAGCTGCACTGATAAACATTTTTCATATAATTTAATGGAGCGTTCATTATGGTACCGAACTATATGAAATTCGGTATTAAAGGGTATAAGTTGAAAGAATACTCCTATCCTCGAATCAACATCGGAAGTTGATAGATGTAAGCTGGTAGACGTACGACTTTTAGCCTGTTGTCGACGTTAATTGAAACTTGGACCACGGTGCGCAATAAATCAATTTAAAGCTTTTAAGTAAAATAGACTAATTGGTGATCTAGTGAATGGTATAGAGTAAGAAATCTTGGTAAAGTAATAGGAATACGATAGTTTAATCGATCGCCAATAAAGTGTCACTCCTCTCACCTATATTCGTGATAACTCGGTTAATTGCTCAGATAGATTGTTTTCCTATTTTTTTTCGAAGTATAGACGTATGCAAGTTCTGTAACTCATACAAAAATAATCGAAAACTATTTGGTTACAGTCGCTTCACTTATGCTTTTTTGTTGCTATCAATAGTCATCTACAATTACTTCACGTGAAATCCTTTGGTACAACGTCCTAATATGCGTGAGTGGAAAGAAAACTTATACTCATCTACGCCCACACCCACACTTCACCACCATTCAACTAAATACAATATTTATATTGTTGTATGGCTATATCGAATAGCACTACACTTCGCTGTACCAGCGGCACAACTATGTATTCTAGAAACTGGTTGATCGATAATGTAAGTGTAGTATATAGCAATAGTTTGGCGACGAGTTTGACACTGAATGAAACTTTCAAAAGTGGTCCCTCAGTCGGCTAGCGAACGTTTTCATGCGATGGAGGCTGCAATGCATCCATAGATTCAATGGCTTGTCTAAATGGTTTGTGCTACAACAATGTCTGCCGCAATACTGTCGATCTACAGATTCTTGAACAATCATTCAATACGAGTATCGGTGCAACGTATAACAACACTTTCTAAATATTGAAAGGTCACATTAGTGTGACAAAGGGATTTAGATGTATGTTTTTGTTTTTTAATATGGTTTTCAACAGAGTACTCATAAGGTATAGAATCGATGATTGAAAATTTTGATAGACTTTGTCAATGATCATCAAGTGACTGAGATTCAATTCAGAATTAGTCACTTAACTTTTATGCAAATAAAGAATGTTTTCTCCGATCGAACTTGTTATTTTCAAACAAAAACACTATGGGTTCATCGACTTCCATGTTTTTTTTTCCGCTATATCATCATATAAAATTTTCTCGATGTGATTCGCATTTTTTCGGAAGTGAAAGATCAGTTTTTATGAGGAAACCTTACACAAAAGTTCGTGCAAAAGTGCGACCAGCATTGAAATCGCTGGATGTAGGGTGGGCGCGGAAGTAGCTCCTTCCTTCGTTCATATTCATACCAATAGATGCGCCCTAACTCGCATCCAAAATTATATTGATACATTTGAGAATCTTTTCATCAGATTTAATGAGACTCAGGTTTTCGTCAATTAACAAAATTATAATCGATCTCATATATAGATACGAATCAACAACGAATAAAAATCCTAATCAATTTAATACCTGCCAATCACAATTGATACGAATGAGATTTTATTTGATTTATTAAGTTATTATTGACTTTCAATTAAAATCTGATTTATACTTCAATAATCAATTACAAGATTCCAGTCGATTTTCATCTGATTATTACTCATACAACGATGTTTTCTTGCAAAATTCGATTAATGATCTCATAATCTGAAATAAGCTTGATTTTTACATCATTAGTTGTCATTGAGTTTGACAAAACTGAACAAACCTTGTGGAAACCCTTCGCTAACAGAATAAAATATACAATATAATCTATCGATGATCAGCATATATTGATATGTTAAATTATCATGTCTTGGCTAGATTTGCAACGTGTCAGGGTCAAAAATTCAGATGAACTGCTTAAAATAAACACTTCTGTTCTTTGAATCAGAATTGACGTGTTCCGACAGTTCTTTTGAACGGAAATTAACTGTCTCAAAAAATTATGTTTCTATAAATAGAACCAAATTATTGTCTTATTAAGAATATTTTCTGAACAACAGGATAATGATGTCATATTTTTAGATGGTTTTCTTCCAATAGCAAAATAATTTTATTTTGTTTATGAAGAGAAAATTTTTTGAAACAGTTCATCTCCGTTCAAAAGAACTATAGAATTACATCAGTTCCATTCAAAATAACTATTAAGATAGATCCGTTCCTTTCAAAAGAACAATTAACAATTTTCAAAACAAAAACTAATGTTAAATTGTTGTAGATAATGTTTTGTTTCTTTGAATGAGAACATACATTTTCTTATTTGAGTTATTTTTTAAGAAACTAATATCATATGTAAATATCCACAAGAAGTTAAATTAATTTCTTTATTATGAAAAATGACTATGGATTCTAAACTATGAAAAAGATTTTTTGTATTTTCTTTGTCAGAATTCTTTAAAATGAAATACAAATCTTTTGGAAATATTTATATACTTTCACAAACTTGGTAATAATTGTGAATAATGAAAAGAAGAAAAGTTGATTAAAGTAAATGGAACTGTGTACCATTCGAAATTTCTTACAATGAATAAAGATGTTAGCAACTATGAATGATTTCAGTCTTATGTCATTTTGATACTCATTAAGTTAGATCAATGTTGTTCAATTTCATATTTTCTTTTATATACAATAGCAAAAATGAATATAAAAAATCTGAAAGATAGATTATCATAGATATAAATGTTAACTTCATATAGAAATAACTCTTTTTTAACATTTAATAATATAAAAAAAAAGATTCATGAAGGATATTTGCTACAATCAAAACAAGCTCGGAAAAGTATATCAATAGCAATTTTTGCGTCTTGTATTCAATAAAATTGCTTTGATCAGTTATAGTGTACGTTCAAAATAATATTCTATTGAACTCATTAATATAAAATTATAATTAAAATGAATCTATTCTATCTATGTTTAATTGAAACGGAAGGAAATCACTTTATCATATAGAATATTACATCCATTAGTTAGAAGGTGTTATAAAGACAATATTAGTGAATTGATCCATGCATATCTATATATATATATAGTTTCATGGAGTATATTTGCTTATAAATATAGCAAAGTAATTATCATGCGTTGTCAATCATGCTAATACTTTATCTTGTCTTCAATTCCGTATGAAATTGCATTATCAATTATTCTTCCATTATATTTTTCTTTTCTCTTTGATAATTAATAAAGGATGCCTAGATATAAAATTTGTTTCCTATTTTTTTGTTTGTTATAAATGTTTTATTTTGTTTATTTTCTAATAGAATTTAAAATCTTCTGTATTTTATTGTTATATAGTGTTCGTATTTTTTGAATCATTTTTGTGTCAATTTTAAATTAAAATCTTATAAGATAGACATCCATGTTTTTTGTATTCGAATAAAAACTAAGTAGAAAAACGATTGATATTAACGATTGGAAAGAATTATTTAGCATAACTTTCTCAAAATTGAGTTAATTGAACAGAATATGTACGTCCATATTTCCGATCGAACTAACAATGAATCGTTCTCGATCAATTGTCTTTCCGATTTCAAAGATAGTTCTTTCTCATTTTCTCTTATTTGTTAAAAAAAAGAAAACAATACATCTATTCTCTTCTTTTTTTCTTCGTCGCCATCAATGTTTATATCGCCTAT